GAGCCTAAACTTTTGAAACATTAGCAAAAACAAAGATGAAAACTAACACATACTCAAGAGAATATCCCCATGGCCGGAAGCAATAGGTACAGTGCAAAGTAGCTGCTAATTTACAGAATAAGATACTGTCTAGGAAATAGAGTGCATCACTATTTGGGACCTTTGATGGTCACATACAGAATCATGCATGAGAAAAATCAGACTCTTCTTGTACAGACCTGGGAATACTTAGTATAAATCTTAAGTAATTTCTACATATGATGAAAAACTATCAAACATTTAATACCAGTTGTCAAGGAAAAATGGAGCTGCAACATTTAACAGCCGCCCAGCACCCCAGAGCCTGACCTCTTAACCAGACTCTAGAGCACAGAGGTGCCGAGAGGATAGGGCTCAGTGGTTGAGAATATGGGCTCTGGTGCTGAGCTGCTTGGGTTGGAACCTGGTTCAATTATCCATTAATTATGCATGAGCTCTATGATCCTAAGTTTATTCTTATCTAAATGGGATGATGATATCTATCTTATGAGGTTCTTGTGAAGATTAAACAATTTAAATCATTTATGATAACCCCCATAATATTTTAAGTATCATTATTTGCCCTTTCTTAACATGAAAAAAAAAAAAACCCTCATCCAAAGTGAAGCGCTTTGTGTTAGTAAAAATACATAGTCTGGGCAATGATACTATAAATTGAGAGAAATAGAATGTCTGAGGTCCCTTGCACTCTAAAATGCTATAAGCCTGCCCTCGGGAAAGAAAGAGACTTCCTGAATACAGAAGATAATTAAGTCTGCTTTCTTAGCATTTGGACATTTGGATACTGATATTTTGATTCCATGACATACCAACATATATCATGACTTTAAAGGGCAAACTACCATTCTTTTTTCTTTAACCAAAACAAAACAAAACAAAACTGTATCTGAAAGACCCTTCTCCCCATCCTTGAGCCCCAAATCGTTGCTCAGAATATTCATGGCCCCTTGACGTGCATTTGCAGTTCTGCCCCAGATGGCGGGATCATTTTTGATCTGAATCATGAGGGATTCAGCCAGGTACAGGTATTCACTCTGTGGTTCTGTGTTCCCATCCTTGCTGCACCTGATCCTCACCTGATGGCTCAGTTCTACTAACTTGTTCCCACCTTGTACCCATACCCAACCCCACTGGCCCCCAGCACTACTTCCACACTTATAGAGTACTTACTTTGTGCCAGGCACTGTTTTTAAGCATTTTATATCTATTAACCCTTGTAATCCTACAACACCCCTGTGAGTGCAAGCTATCATTACCCCCATGTTACAGATGAGAAACTCAGGAACAGAAAAGCTAACTAAATTTTCTCAGTTTCTCACACAGCTGGTAAGTAGCAGAGCCAAGATCAAATTGAGGTAGTCTGGCTGCAGAGTCCATGCTCTCAACCCCTACACTAAACCACCTCGGTAGCCAAAACACAGGGCCTTAGTCCACGCTCCTGAGTTATTCTTATGTTAACATATCTTATTTTAATATTTATATAGTGCTTCATAGTTTAAAATGACTTCACCTCCATGGTCTTATTTGTTCCTTGTGACTACTGTATGAGATAGGATGAGTATGAGGAAACTGAGGCTCACAGAGAGAGAAACTGCACAGGAGGCAGCGAATGGTAGAATCAACACCTAAACCCGGATCTTAAAGCCTATGTTCTTTCCACAGCTCCCATGATTCTCTTCCTGAGGCCTATAAAAAGAAGATATCCATGAGATATGGACTTTCTGGATATGGATTTTCTGATGGAGGTGGGGTCTGACCAAGACTTTGAATTCTAGGTAACTCTCAGACTGAGGGAGAGGATGAGAAAATAAAGAATAAAAGAAAAAATAACAGGAAAAGTAGATGGGAAGAGATAGATGGTAGATATATTATCATAAAAGAAATGAAAGGACTTGATAGTGGTTTGGTTATTGACAGCAAATACAAAGAAGAAAAATGGCTCCATGGTTTCAAGTGTGAGAAACCAGGAGATCATCAATGCCATTGGCAGAAACATGGATGAAAGAGGAAGTAGTTTGACATGAAAGATACTGAATTTGGCTACAACAATGATGAATATCCAGTGACAGTTGAACATACAAGTGGGAAAATGTATAGTAGATGGAAATGGATATCTTGGAAGCATCCACTCAGAGGTGATATTTAAAACTATGGTTTGAGGAGAAGTCACAGGCAAAGAAAAGAAGTAATAGATTATGGGTCAAATGCTAAACCTTTGGGGGAAACCAACACTTAGGGAAGGGAAGAGAAGGAGACAAGAGGTAAACTGGTAGAAAAGTAGTTGGATAGATAATATAGAGTCGTGGATATAATAAGGAAGGAGAAAACTCGAGAAGTAGGAAGTGATCATGAATGTCACATAAAGCAAAGGAGTCAAATAGAATGAGAATTTGGAAAAGTATCCTTGACAGCACTTATCACAATTGAAATAAATGATTTGGGAAAATTAATACCTTCCTTAACTAGACTGGAGGTACATAAAGTCAGACTGTTTCCTACTGTAACTTTAGTGCCTAGCAGTGCCCGACACATAGCCGTCACTAAGTATTTACTGAATGGATGAATGAATAAATGTAATTAAATTTCCTAACAGCACCACGAGTGACCCTTGGAAGTACAGTGTCAATAAAGCGATGGAGGCAGATGTCATGTCCTAGGGGAATTTAAAGAAAGTGGGGTTATAAAAGAGAGAAAGAGGGTAGTTGAGGCAGACATTACTGCCTCGTAGAGATGTGTTTCGCTGAAAGGAGAGAGAATCCAGATCAAGTGAATTTCCTATCCTAGTGCACTGTATATTTATCAGACTTTGTACCTCTAAGAGCTCTGCCTGACTCCCAGACGGTCTTCCAGAACTTAAGGTAGCCACTACAGTTGCCAACTCCACAAGTGATGGAAACAATGGGACCACCTACTTACTCACTGCTATCTTCAGTAGAATCAGAAGTCCACGGGCTAGGCATGATGAAGATATGGCAAAAGCATGGTAAGGAAAGAGAGGTCAAAAGAAATGATGATACTACCCACAGAAAGACATAGCCAGGAATGGAACCAAGTTGGAGAGAAGTTAACAAGTCCTGTGAGGGGCCTGCCTGGTGGTGTAGCAGTTAAGTTCGTGCACTCCACTTCAGCGGCCCAGGGTTTGCCAGTTTGGATCCCAGGCGCAGACCTAGCACCGCTTATAAAGCCATGTTGTGGCAGGCGTCCCACATATAAAATAGAGGAAGATGGGAACAGATGTAAGCTCAGGGCCAATCTTCCTCAGCAAAAAGAGGAGGGCTGGCGGCAGATGCTAACTCAGGGCTAATCTTCCTCAAAATAAAAGAAAAATTCCTGTGAAATCATCCAAAATGTATGAATGTGTGTGTGTGTGGGGGGTGAATGTGTGAGAGCGAGAACACATAAACAAGCAACATATGGGATGTACAAAAACATAGGTACAAGCAAATTCTAAATAGAAAATATTAAAGATGATTAGCTAAGTGTTTACATATGCTGGCAAAACAGTCATCACATATGCCATTCTCTAACAGAGCTTAGGTAAGACAAGCTGCTCGTTTCACATATTAAAGCTGCATTCCCTTTTCCTTTTGTTAACATACTAAATAATTAAAAGAAAATAGTTACAACAAAAGTACTAAATGTGCCTCCAGGACACAAAGAGGTAGAAATCATTATTTTATTGTTTTATTCCCAAATCTATTAGACGACTTTATCAAACCTGAATAAATGGAAAGACAACACAGCTAATTCCCAAACTTAGGCTGGCAGAGAATTTCAGAAAATCATAAGAATCAAATCATAGAATAAACATGATTTGACAACAAAAAGACATTTTCTCACCTTTTATCTGTTTCCTGATATTAGCTGCCCATATGTAAATATACAGGTATACGTGTGTATGTGTGTATATATATATTCAAGGATTTAGGGATCTATTTAAGGATTTCACTAGGGCCCAGCTGAATGTCTTCATGCACATAAGTCATGGGGTATAAATTATAAGAGTCTTGTGTTTGAGCCGTTGTCTAAACAACACATGAAAAACTTATTACAAAGCGAAAAAATTAAATGCTCAATTCCTGACATATTAAGACACTTTAAGAAGACTAAGATTTAAGTACTATTTTAAATACATTATCATATAGAAGTAATATTTTCTACTCATAATTTTGAATGCTTTAAATAGAAAACTTTTTTCTCCAAGTATATAATTCAATATGTTATGTTGCAGAATGTATTTTTCACTTAAATAAGGAAGATGGCATTGCTAATTAAAACAATCCATATTCAGGAGAAATTTTTCAAAACCTGATGCATCTTTCTAGTGTATATGCATATTCAGCCAGTATCTCATCTCCTCATGGTGTTAAAAACATCACATTCATGTTGAAACTATTCCAGGGTTTTCAGACATTAACAATCCTTCTAACAATCCTTAGATACTGGATATCTAACCATATCAAGAACAGGACTGAATGAAAAAAACAATTCAACAATGCTAAATAAAACATCTGAGTTTTCTAACAATGAAAGAAATTCAGAAGGAACAGACTGCTATCTTATACATAGAGGTATGAGAAGTTTTTGGCAAAATGACACAGTCCTTCTGCTGTGAACTTGATTTTTTTTATGCCACTAGGATACATATTTGCTCCTGGAGATAGTCATTGTTCAGTGGGCTCTAGTGCAAGGTTTCACTCTGGAGATTAAATTAAGCGCTAATAACAAGAAGATATTATATTTCCCTCCTCAATCTATCAAACTTATATAGCAGCCCAATAGCCAAAATGTGCCTTCTGTATATATTCCTTTCTTTCTCCTTTTATTGTAAAATCCCATATTAAATGGTGGAAGGAGTCATTCATTTCTTGACAAGCAAACCCCACCTCCTAAACACACGAAAATACAAAAATCAGGAGAGCAGACGTCACACTGAAGCCCCCTAAACACATGATTCTTACCTCAATCTGATGGTTAGAAGAACATTTTTGGAGGCTCACTTTTCTTTCAGACAAACTGTAGAATGCTGGATCACTTGCCCCTTCTGGAGTACTAGGAGCAGGAACTTGAAAAACCAGCCTCTCATGTTCCCACAATCTATTTACACACTGAACACACCCAGCAGCTCAGAGTAATGTTTATCTGTGGTGGACAGCTATTCTAAGAAGCAGGCAGTATCTCCACTTTCATAAAGGAATGCCTCTGTTCAGCAGGGGAAAGGTACTAGCTATTTCATCCTCTAAAGCACATTTAGGAAATTTCTGGACGTGAGAGATTTTAAATCAGTATTTTAAAGGTGATTCATCCTTTTAATGTTTTATTCCTGAAAAACTCTTTCCTTAAAGGATCTGAAGAAAAGTATATCTGATGACAACAGGTAACACATATGTGCCAGGTATAATTCCAAGTGCTCATTTCCCATAACTTTCAAAACTTATTAGGTATGAACTACTATCAACCCCATATTACAGATGCGCAAACTAAGTGGTTTGCCCACAGTTACCCAATTAATAAATGGTAGAGCCAGAAGTTAAACCCAGGCACTCCAGCACCACAGTCCATGGTATCTAACCATGACACTGCATGATGCATCCTGGGGCAAAATTCCTCTCCATTCGTGAACTTGTGAAACTAGAAAACAAGTTATCTACTCTCAAAATACAATGGTGGGACAGGCATAGAATAATAGTTATGGATGTCCTGATTCCACACGGGAGAATAAGGATAGAAGAGTCACCAGCCCCAAGCAATTCCGAAACCCAACCAGCAAGTTCCATTAGGTTTCAAGGCCTACAAATAATCCTCTATGGCTTGAAGCTCTGCCCTCAGCCTGTGGCTCAACCCTTTGGGACAGAGCCTCCATCCCAGGGTCTGTGACTCTGACCTGTGGGCACATTTCAATGTTACTGAACAATATTCTTATGTCTGTTTTTTGTATTTTCCTTTAAAATGGTTATAACACCTGCTGGTTCTCTCACGAGTTAAGTAAAATCTTTTAACATGTGTTCATTTCATATCTGTATGAACTTAATGGTTTTATCTTGTCTGAAAATTATCTTTTAATTATCTTAGAGGTCAAACCAAAATGCCCACTACATTAGCCTACCAGAGTCAGGTAAATTTCAACGACAAAGAGCACCTCATGCAGAGTCTAAGCCCAGGCAGGTCTTGTCTTGGTGGTCCAGGTGAATCCAAAGCACCAATACAATGATGCTACTGCTTCTCTAGTTGTAATTTTCTGATCTACTAACTTAGTCTTTGTTTTATTTTGAATACATCATAGCCCATAAGTTATTCCCCATGGTTGGTATAAATGGATGGGAATTTGGTTTTAGAGTCAGACCATTTAGAGAGCTTTCTAAATGGATTCATGGTTTATAGAGATCTAATCTGTGCTGGATGAGACAACAGAGAATCTGGCTTGTCAGTCTTTTTGTTTTTTGGTTTGTTTTAGAGCTCAAGTAAATTAAGACTTGCATGCGCTCTGAGAGGAGAACAGCATTTTGATATCTGGACCGGTGAGTTTTTCTGTTTCTGTGTTTACTCTTAACCCATGGCACGACAGGCTCTATTTCTCTGTGCTTGTATGTCCACGTGTCTGTAATTAAGAAATGCCCTCACCTCTGATCGTGTGAGCATGTAATGGATTCCCTACTTCTGGATGATATTAGTATATTAGATCATAAAATCTCTGAATTTAATGAAGCTCTGTTCTGATTGGCATATTTAATAAATAATTGATTATATAAATGGAATATTCTTTTAATTTCCTGAAAATAAAGAAGTTGAACAATGATACTTAAAAATGAACTAGATTTAAACAATATGTATTCTCCCAGAAACCGAATCACAACTATATTAAGAACTCAAACTCATATAATTTGGGTAAACCTTTGGCAAACAAGTCTGGCTTAACAGTTTGGGTTTTGTAAAAATACTACGTCTTCTCTGATTTATCAGTATCAAGTATAAACATTTTTATGCTACCTGGGTATATTTTTCCTAAACTTATACAATTTTATTGACCAAATGAGCTAGAATTACTTCTACTAAAACAAAGATGTGAAAAACATAAATTTGTTTAAGCAAATCAAATTATTTTTTTGACGTTCTTGAATTTCTACAGTAATAAGATTTAATAGTATGTCAGCTTGAGAGCATTTCCAAAATCTTTAGATAAGTGAAAATCTTGGATGATATTACATTGAGTTAAATACGGACGGGTAGATCATTTATGAGTAAGGTAAAACACTGAAACATTGATTACCAAGCATAGTTTTAGTTTATATACTTCTGGTTATTTGTACATGCTACAAACAGGCTTACACCTTTGGGTCTGTCAACAAACGTGCTCATTTCTGCCACGTTGAGAAGCTGTATAAGGAATGTGTATGGCCGAATAAAGCTGGGTTAGGTATATGTATGAGCTACTCTGGTAAAGTCACGGACAGTACATAGTTACGGACATTAGTCTTCTTTGTGAAACAGAAGTGACTTTGGTTAAAAGTTATAATATATGTGAACGAGACTCTACTAGGGTCTCAACATTAAGGGCAAAAAAGAGAATGGTTTTTTCTTTTTTTTTTTTTTTTGAGGAAGATTAGCCCTGAGCTAACTGCTGCCAATCCTCCTCTTTTTGTTGAGGAAGACTGGCCCTGAGCTAACATGCGTGCCCATCTTCCTCTACTTTATATGTGGGATGCCCGCCTCAGCATGGCTTGCTAAGCAGTGCCATGTCCGCACCGGGGATCTGAACCAGCAAACCCCAGGCCGCCAAAGCGGAACGTGCGAACTTAACCACTGTGCCACCAGGCCAGCCCCGAGAATGTTTCTGTTCTAAAGTAAAACAGCTTTTTGTTCCAGAATAGGAGAGAAGGTGCTGAAACACAAAACTGAGCATGTACAGAAAGCTCTAGAAGGTTCATGGAAATAGAATTTGAAAAGGAACATAAATTTGTGTTAAATTTTTCCAAACCTGACTCAGTTTTCATGAGTTTATTCATAAGATTTTCAAAAGGAGCTTGTAGTTAATTTAGTATCAAATATTATATCGAACACTGAACTCAGTCCGAGAATTTTACTTGCTCTTACCAAAAAAGACCAAGTTTTGTTAGAGTATGGGTCTGCTCTTAATAAGAAATCGTAAAAGGTCACTCCTCAGCTGTATTAGTTTCCCTGACTGCTCCAACAAATTACCACAACCTTGATGGCTTTCAAAAGAATACATTTATTTGCTTATTTCTGAAGGTCAGAAGCTCGAAATCAGTTTCTCTAAGCTACCTTCTTTGTAATCTGCCCAAAAAAGCAGAGATTCTGTATCTTATCACAATAACTTTCTACACTTTCTTCTGACTTTATCATGACCCTGATTATTCTCTTTAAAATAAAAGAGACAAGGGCTGGCCCCGTGGCCCAGTGGTTAAGTTCACGCACTCTGCTGCAGGTGGCCCAGTGTTTCGTTGGTTTGAATCCTGGGTGCGGACATGGCACTGCTCATCAAACCATGCTGAGGCGTCATCCCACATGCCACAACTAGAAGGACCCACAATGAAGAATATGCAACTATGTACCAGAGGGCTTTGGGGAGAAAAAGGAAAAAAAATAAAATCTTAAAAAATAAAAATAAAAATAAAAAAATAAAAGAGACAGTAAAAGTTACATAGTTTCTGAATGTTTATTTATTGTATTGCCATCTTGAGGGAAGGTAGCCAAGCTACAATCATTCACCTTCTCGAGTTTCCAGAATCCTATCTTAAGCACTCAAATGTCCTGGCGATTTTATTTTTGCCTTCCCCAAAATGATTCCTAAATGAAAATAACACTTAAAAATAAGTTTTGCACTTACAACTCTATTTGAGATTTCCCAGAAGGCCCTGGAAGTCACATAGACTCTGTTACCTTCAAAAAAGAGAGGTGGTAAAATTATTAGATTTATTTGATATGCTACTATTTATGAGTTGCATGGAAAAAAATTCTCAAAAGAGGGGATCAAACTTCCCTGTTAAATTTGAATAGGGAAAATATTATTAACATAAATATTTTAGAAGTTGTGTCATGTATAGGAAGGTCCTGGAGATTTATCAGCACCCTCACTGCCCCTTATATGTTCTCTTACCAAAGTCCTAGTGGTACGTTCCCTGATGATATTAGGCAACAACACTATAGTGTTATCAGGTATAACTTCAACTGTTATTTTTATATGTTTGAGTGCAATCACACTATTTTATGGCCTGCTGAGCGGTGCCAGGTCTGCACCCGGGATCCGAACCGGCAAAACCCCAGGCCGCTGAAGCGGAACACGCAAACTTAACCACTTGGCCACGAGGCCGGTCCCAACCACAGTCATTTTAAATGTCTGTCTCCTCCATGTTGTTTTTTGTTTAATTCTGATGGTTCCCATAAGACTGTACAGACAGGTACAGGACAGAGATCTCATTTTAAACAAAGAGGAACTGTCCAAGAACCCCCAGGAAAAGGATAGCTACTTCAAAGAACAGGCTCTTGAGCACAGCCTTCTGACGTCATCACACAAGCACCTTTAAGATCATGTCAGTGAACAGAATCAGAATTTCGAGAACAAGTTAACTGAAAAGCAGAAGCATTCATGATGTAGTTTAACATAACACACAGTGGAACAAGACATAGGTTTGCCAAGTACAAAGACCTATACTATGAAATCAATCCTTTTTTCCCAAATAAAACACAAGTGAAAATTGAGAGTGAGTTATTGAAAGCGTTCTCCTAAATCCAAGAAAACCTAAGACCTGCATTGAAGAGCTTACCTTCCTTTTCACAGAGAACATGAAATAGTTTCTATCTCAAGGTCCATTTCTCAGGAGAGAGTAGAGGAAAGAGCCTCAACAACAGGTAAGAGAGCCAGGCTCTCCTCCTTGCTGTGACCTTGGGAGAGCTGATTACCATCTCTGGGCCAAAGTGGCCTCAGCTGTAAAATGAAGATCCTAAAGAATAATCCTTATCTCCTATGCCCCACTTACCCACTTTCCATAGAGAACTTCTCTTAGGAAAAGATCATAGACTTGT